ATTTCATTCATACAACCTGTCAGATGATACTTAATCGTATTTTGCATTCTTCTATTGAGCAACGCTTTCAATTTAAAAAGTTGATATTTTTTCACCTTGAGAATTCCCGTATGTACTATTAAATTGATTCAGCTGGTAAATATGATCAAGTCAATTCTCCATTCAGTGAACAGCAGGTGTAACCTCATTAATATTTTTCGCCAGTAATATCTATAGTAGTAGAGCCGAATCCGCACCGTGTCTCTTCTTTGCTTTCAGTTTGAAGTAATAAATCTGAAATCTTAATTTTGTTTTACTATGGCCTGTATCGTTTACACAGTCACATGGTAGTCACTTGCAAATGGATCAATATTCCATAATTTCCTGTTAGTTTAGGATAAATGGCAGGCGTAATAGCTGGATTAAGACATTAATTGTGTACTTGTTCCTTCTACTTGATTAGATTTCATTGAAGCAAATCTTATTGATTCTTTCTAAAGTGCTTCTAGTTTTAAAGCTCAAGGACCTCGCAAAAGCAATCTTATGAGGCATATTGACAATTCTTTTTTCTTTTTTTTTTCTATATTTTGTTTAATGAATACGGCAATTAAGTAATGATTATGAAAAATGGGTGGATAAAAATATTTAAAAGCTAAGTTGGTGAACCAAAACAAGGACATTAATCAGATTTAGAGATGTCAGGATTTAACTTTGGTTTCCTGTATTGCAAAGGTTTACGGTATATTAAATATTTCTCAGTGATATTCAATATTTTGAATTGTAAAATGCAAAGAAGAGGTGTATACCATAAATTTACTTTTGATTTTTTTTTTCGCTTTTTCTTTCACAAAAAGGCAACCCCTTTTCAATGTCAATACATATATTAATTAATTATTTTTAGCAAAAACTACCATATTCTTGTACATTAATTAAATATTTAGTAAATAAAATTTTAGTTGGATTTTGATGTTAATTGTTGTTTTTATTAAAATTATCATAAACGTCTATTTTTACTTTATATATAAACTATATTTGAAATATTATTTGTTGATTAATTATTATTTTTTCAACGTTCAATAATATTCTTTAATATCTGCTTAATAAAATATATTTTTAAAATAATTTTTTATTATTTAATTAAAAATACATTGAAAATATACACAGACAATAGAAATGAGAACAGTATAAATCGTACAGGATTAAAAAACAAACAAATTTAAATAATGTCAGCTGGTTCTCAAAAATATAAAAGTAAAAACATATACCGGTACCATAATTTCTCGGGTGTAAGCCCACTGGTATAAGTCCACCTCGGGTATAAGCCCACCCTCTGACCCATTTTATACCCACCGCTGCCCTACATAATTATTTATATTATATTTTTTTATTTAGATGTATAATATTGTTTTAAAATTAGTTTTTGGTATAATTAATTGAATGCTTTTCGGAGACAAGCTTTTTTAACATCCAGCCATTTATGAGATTCTTAAAATTTCTAAAATTAAGGCTGATTTTCAAAGCAATTTTTATAATGCTTTGTATTTTGATCATTTATTTCGATTGTAAAGTAGCAGTTATAGACATTTGTACATGTAGTGTATTTGATAGAAAACCTTTTATCTGCATTAACTACCTAAATTTTTCTTCACTATTATATTGCAACCAATTGCTCATGCAAACAAATGCATAGTTTAATATTCTTCCTGCTCATCTGTTCTTCTTCTGGCAACAACTGTAATTTTTTAGGTCAATTGAAACCATTATGTACAGTAACTTTTAAGTTGAGTGTCTAGCCTTGTGATGGATGCAGTTCAGAAAATCATTTCGTAAATCTTGTGGCTAACGAATCTGAGACAGATGATTGTCTCTGTCTCTCGTTTCTTCCAATTAAATGACGCCTTTGTTTCTTTCATGTACATTATTAATTTTCCTGTAGAGATTAATTACATATGACATGCTTTATTGAATTAAAGTTTAAACCTTTTTGAAGCTGTTCTAGTCTTGTGCCAAACTCTGATGTTTTTGACATAGTTACTTCTCTTCAGGAAATCCAGTCCTCCCTTTATCCCTCCACTTACAAAGGCGACACTTTTTCATACCTTGTTTAGCAAACTTCTCTTTAAGAAATCTTTACTCGAGGAAGGTGAAAAATTATAAAATCAAAACTTGTATATTTGTATCTTGCAAAATAGTTCTACCAAAGCATCTGGACAGAGGAGAAAATACAATATGTAATAAGTGTGCCATCAGTCCTTACTCAAGATAATCTGGCAATGTATAAACAGTTCAGTAATTTTACTGATAAATGCTTTTTATTTACTTAATACAGAGAAAATTTTTTTTATTATGATAGTGCGATGAAAATATGTTTAAAAAACATTTTTTTTTTTGGTTAAATTTTTATAGGTGTTTTTACAAGCAAAATATAAATAATAAATTAAGAAAATATGTATTCAAAATAATCATAATCAACGGCAGAGAGTTCCTGGAGCAAAGTATAATCTCAATAGGTATCTTATTCTGGATAAATTTTATCTACTGTAGTATATAATTTATCTTCCTGTTCTTAAAGAAATAAGAGTAATTTTTTTTTTGCAGACTTAACAAGAAGATTTATGCTTCCCTTTCTTTTATATGGCCTTAGGCTTAAATGGATACAATTGTTTATTAGATATTACATTATGAAAGGCTATAATACATTTACTACAGTTTGTAATTTAAATAGTCCATCTCAGTATATACAGAATTTGATTTGTTTTGCGAAATAAAAATACTTGAATACCTGAATATACCCACAAGCAGTGTAAAAACTAGTTGATTACATATTCTATTGATTTTTTTAAATTAATATATTTTATTAAGTAATTGATTCAAAATTAACAATACACCGATGCTGAAATTAACAAAATTGAAATGGTAGATAAATTATTAGTAAAAATTATTATTATGAAAATATTGATAATACAGGTCTCCTCTAATTAAAGGCCCATTCAATAAATAAACCACCTCCAAAGATGACTTTCAATGGTCCCATGTCTATTTATTATTCTAATTAGAGCCCACAGCTGCTAAAGTCCATGGAAACCTTGGTCCCAAAGTGGTCTTTATTGGAGGGGGACCTATTATGTAAAAAGGTAAAAGTATTTGGACAGGGTGCATATCGTAAATTGCTTTGTTTTTATGCTTTATCGACATTGATGTTTTCCTTCATGTTTTGATTGTTTTCATTTTTTTCTCTATAATACCGTAAAACCTTGAATTGAAACCCTGAGCTTCTTTTTTTTGCGAATTTTAGATGGGATTCGTTTTGAGATGGGCTTCTCTTCGAGATGAGCTTCTTTTCGAGGCTATTTTGCAAAGTACAGAGGGGGGTGGGTCTCTTTTCAAAATGAATGCTGTAAATTTTGGGAATTACTACTATAAAACAGTAAATAGGGCCACTGTAACATCAATCTGTGTCATGGAGTGTATTAACTGGCATTAAATCATCTAAACTACAATATAAACCAAGCATATTTTTAAATTTTTTTTTTCCTTTAAATTATGTATAGTGTATGTACTGTACTGTCTCGAAAAAAAAAAAAAACCAATGCTATCTTGAAAAGAAGCTTGTAGGCTTCTTTTCGAGTATCACATTTTACATTGTCAAATTGAAGGTTGCTGTGCTGACCCTTCTAACCAAAAATTATTATAATTTAATATATGATGTGTGGTAACATTTAATATGGATTTAATTTTTTTCTGTAGATATTTAAAAATTGACAAATTCTGGATTAAAAATTAATAATAGGCCTAATTGTTTTTTTCATAGCACATCTAATTAAAACGTCCTACCAATTAACGACAAGTGAGATCATTAAATATATATCTTAACTTTTGTGTGAACAATCAAGACTCTTCCATGATGCTCATATGTTTTACAAGATATACCAAGAGAGTGCATATGAATTGAAAATGCAGCCTAAATTTACGCAGATCCAATGAATTTCAATTACCAGAGTAATATCGTATTCATACATGAAAATAGATGAATTAATACAATACCAAAATGATGTTGCTAGACATCTGCAAGGCAGATAGCTTATGTGCCTTGGGGTGTAAAGAATAATTGAAATCATTCAATTTCTCATTAGAGATTAATCTAGCCTTTTAAAATTCATTATTGGACATCAGTAATATCTGTGTGTAGCGTCTTGTTCGGTTTGTATAGATTTCCGAAGAATAGTGCATTGAATACTTTACATGCTTATATTCTCTGAACAATTTGTTCATTGTCATATATTAAAATGTCAGCTTGCTTTGTAAAGATGCAGTCTGTATTATATACAACAAATTTAATCATTGAAATTAAATGAAATAATGATGATGTTGCTGTTGGTTCGCTTCAAATTACAGTATGTACAGTAGTTTTAAAAGCAGTATCCTACTAATGAAAACGTCAAAGTTTGTCAATGGCCCTTTTTTCCAAGTATTGAAGTATATTGTATGTAATCATCTCAAAATTATCAACATCGGTAAACATTACATCAGCCCGATATTCACATTATAACAAATAAAGAAGTGCAGCTCAGATTGGTGGACTATCATTATGTATGCCTACAAAATTTTTAGTGTTGGGCCTATCAAATGAAATAGTTGAGGTAGAAATTTGAATGCCCCTCCAGATAACTGATTTCCTCTCAGTTGTTCGAATGTTTATTACTTTACTAAAAATGCATTTCTTTTTTGTTTGCAGCATTTCTTTTTCTTTGCAGTGTGTCCCTTGTGGGCCATCGTACTCTTCTGTTACTCTTTGGTTACATGAGGTTACTCAACCATAACAATCAAAACCTATTGCGTATGGAACGCGGGCGGTGCTATGCGCCAGTTCCTTTTTGCCCATTCGACAAAATCACATTTTTTCCTACAATAAATTATTAATTGCGTATTCATTATTAATGGCTATTAATTATTGAGTGTTATAATAGAAAAAAACTTCTTCACAGCCCCCCCCCCCCAAAAAAAGATAGGTTAAGTATGAAATAGGCCTAAGTTTATTTAGAAAAACGTATGCTCCACCACCCAGGACATTTAAAATGTTTTCCATCTAAAACATCAACAGGTTAGACTCTGTCTCTTATACACATCTAGATGTGTATAAGAGACAGGGCAGATAGCTTATGTGCCTTGGGGTGTAAAGAATAATTGAAATCATTCAATTTCTCATTAGAGATTAATCTAGCCTTTTAAAATTCATTATTGGACATCAGTAATATCTGTGTGTAG